GATAAGAAGGAATAAAGATGACAATAAACGTAGTCTTTTTCCCAAGACACCCATGCTATCCCGAATGACCTTCGCTCGCCTAGACCTGTTCCAAAAAGTCYTGTTCTCTACCCTCTTTGCTCCTATTTCATCACAGTCGCCCAAGCAAAARARAAGAAGAAAGGTGAGGTCATCAACRGTTTGMCCGACCTCSATCACTAGAAATGACTCTTCGTGGATCCACGACCTTCGAGGCTGGCTGGGGGGAGGTGCGGTACGCTGCATAGACCCATTTGTGGGGGTGGTGCAATGCTGTTGCGGTGGAGTCAACACCTACTTCTGAGATCTGGGCATCGTGCTCAGGCGAGGAGAATGGGTACTATAGACTACTTTCTAGCGATCGAGGTTCGAAAAGGTCGGCAAAGGCATGTTACCTTTTTTAAATCTTTTGTGGACGGATGACTGACTTAGGATACCTAAGGCTAATCGCAAGTAGGAGCCGCCTCGATTATGGTGGATTGGAGTCAAAAGGAGCCGCCTCGATTATGGTGGATTGGAGCCAAAAGAAGTTTCGATCCCAGTGATAAATTTATCCGAACAGGAAAGTGAGCCCTGCTAGAGAATGACAAAGGGCAAACGTGGATAGACGAGGTACGTATGACTCTATCGCATGGGCCCCTGAAAAGACTAAGGGGCGTATAGGATCATAAATCGAACATAAGAAACGAATGAGGCATACGAAAAAAATAGGAGGCGTGTCAATTAACCTCAATAGGAGTTCAAAGAAGTTCCGGTCCCGATCAAACATTTGCTAGAACATGAAAGTGGACCTGTACAGYTATATTTGCTTGAACGAATAAATTCCGATGTGAATTAACATTGAATAACCTCGATAGACGCGCTCAAGAAAAGAAAAAAAAACGAACTGACTCCTTTTTTTTTTTGATCGTCTGTGCTTCGCATTTTGGCTGCGTTCTTTGTGTTGCACTGTGTCTTCTTTGTTTTTCTTTTTTTTTTCTTTTCTACTTGACACTATATTACTCTTCTTCATATAATTA